GTTGTGTGTGTGTGTGTGTGTGTGTGTGTGTTTGTGTGTGTATGTGGGGATAGAGGTATGTGGTGGTGTAAAGGGCTGGAAAGATTTCGAAAGAAACCACCATTTACTCCAAAGGCATTTAAATAAATAGAACACATGATTTAGTAATTTGACAACCTGAAAAGTGTTCTCAATTATAATCGGTGCCTGGATCTTAGGTGTGTGATTTTATTGCTTTTGTGAGATTAGGTTTACTTAATAAACAACTTATCATTTCCCACTCCTTTTCTCTCTTGATGTCTTTCTAAAGCGACTTTGATGAAGCTATAACCTACTCACAGAGACTGTTTTTGGTGTCTGTGTTCTGTCTTCTTCTTCTCCTCCTCCTCCTCCTCCTCCTCCTCCTCCTCCTCCTCCTCCTTATTATTAAGCCATTTACTTTTGGGGCATTTTTCTCATGTGAACACACTACCTATTTATTCATTTGACTATCTTAGAAACCTGGCCTTTCACTGATCCATAGGGCTGAATTGTTTTATTCCCTGTAGAGCTATGACTTCCGTGGGATCACATATTCTACATCACTGACTTCCTCTTCCTCCTTCCGCCCTCACCTCTTTCCCTCACCCCTCTACCTTTTACTCTTCCCCTCCCTCTTCCCACTTCGCCCATCCCCTCTCCCTCTCAACCCCAACACCCTCTTCCTCCTCCACCGCGCCTCCCCCTCCCCTCTCTCTCCCAACCACCATCTCACTATCCCTCTCCCCTCCCCCCAATTCCCCAACTTTCGCCTCCCCAGATGACTCCCAGCTTCTACTGGGCCTTGCTGTAGGGTTGCCGCTCTTCGCGTTGCTGTTGCTGGCCGTTGCCATGGCAACGTACTATTACAGGGGAAAGCAGAAGGAACAGAAGAAGGTGTCTGGCATGCCACAGGAGCTGGAGTTCCCTAGGTGAGTACACGCACACATACATACATACATGCGCACAAAAACACCCACAATTTTGTGCGCGCACACACATACTCATACACATGGACAAATACGTACACACATATACACAAAGACATAGACGCACATATACACACACTCACACTCACTTACACACACACACACACACACACACACACACACACACACGCGCGCGCGCGCACACGCACACACAGACAACGTTGTCAGTATGGGTGAATATATATGTATTATATAAATTATATGGTAGTGTCTACGTTATCTCACGTTAGAGAACGTATACAAGTTGTGTACGTTCTCGAATGTTAGTAGAGAACCTAAAAATAGCTCGCTCGCTCTATCTAACATGGAAACAAGTCGACATTGCTGCTTCCACAGTGCTTACACTTTATTTTAGCAAACTATTAAGTTTACTTTCTCGAAATTAAAATGCTCCCCCAAAGTAAAGCTGTCTTCAGTACCGCATCTTGCCTTTACAGCGACGTTAAACCCCTAACAAGCAACCAACACCTTCTATCATTCCATCGAGATAACACCACCCCCCCCTCCCTTTTCATAATAATATGTTGTAGGCCTACACTTTTCACCCAATAAAGGTGCACTCTGATGCCCCCCCCCTAAAACGTTGAATAAGTCATTGAAGATCAGGCCGTCTGTAATTAGTATCTAGAAGATAGTTTGCAGGTTACATGCGATTTCGTATTCCAACCTCAACGCCAAGGTGGGCCTATGTGATACGATTTGAGAGACCATAAATGATACCAAATTCACATGTGTGGAAAAACATTGCCGATTTGGTGTGTGATGTGACATCACTGTCATGAAATCAAATCACGTGGGTCAAGGTCAAGTCAGTCATATCAACGCTAGGTCTACGATAGGCCTAGATCTATATATATATAATACATTGCTGTTGTTGTTGTTTGTGTTGTATGTGTATGTGTGTGTTATATTTAT